AGACATATACCATAATCATAAGAGATACATCATAAGACATAAACTATAGGCATAAGAGATAACAATATAATCATAAGAATAATCTCCAACATAGACATAATGTAAGCATTAGTCATCATAAGGTATAATCCATAAGCATAGTCAATACTTAGATCTTCATAACACAAGACAACCACTTAATAAGTAACCTCAAAGCATACTTGTGCAATGCATGGATACGACCCCATAATCTCACCCATGCTAAGTACCCCCTTTTGGTCATCATACATATTCATCATCTCTTCGATCTCATAATTAGCTCATCATTTATAGACAAGGGAATCTTTACCATTAGTCAAACATATCTTGAAGGAAACTATAGCAACAATCCAATCTAAACATACATCATATAAGAGAGGCACTCTCAAGGTAACCTCAAGTCATAGTTGTGCAATGCATGGATAAGACCCCATAATCCCACCCATACTAAGTACCACCTTAGACCATCATAATCATACTTCTTGGTTGGGGACTAGCCCCTTTCAAGCTATTTTCATCATTTATGGAAAGGTACCACTTTAGTACTCCAAGACAATTCATTACACATGAGTGATTACAATTTACCAATTCAGAGCTACCAAGGAAAATCACTACATTATGATAGACCAAGCTACCATGGAAAGCATACTATAATTCAAGTCCAAGCTACACAAGGAAGGGTACGATTTCACAATCCACGCTACCAATGATATGGTATGGCCTAACCAAGTCATGCTATCATGCTACCATGCAAAGCACTCTATTGTGCTTAGTTCAAGCTAACTATTGGAAGGGTACTATTACTCAATCCAAGGCTACCATGAGAACTCTTAACTCAAGATACCAAGCATGATTTTGTCTTACCAAGTCAAGTTATTCATGATGTGATCTTATATCACAACTTCAAGCTATTCTAGTCTAACATACTTGATTCATTTTAGGTGAGCAAATTTTTCAACCTAGAATCATTCTATGTGAGAAAATCTTTCACATCATCTTCAGTATATGTTCATGAGAATATATCTTCAACCAACACAACATTTATATCAATTAATATAATTCTATAGATATGGAGATTATTACTAGAAACCCAGACTCAACTAGTGTAAAAGGATCCCATTTGGAAGCTGGACTCAACTAGGGTATAAGCTTCCATCCCATATTCATGCATAAGTGTGTATGTGAGAATATCTTTTCAACAACACACAAGTACAACATCATAATCATAGACACTTCACTCTCAAAATGCTCATAAAGCATTTACATTGATTCTATAAGAAAATGCATAATCTCATATACTCATACTATAAGTCATGTGGGTAAAGTCCTTCCACAATAATGTCATATATAATTCAACATACATATTAGCTTCACTCTCAAAGCCCTAGAAGTCAACCTTCATAACTACAAGCCTTACTCTCAAGCAATACTTCTCATTTTCATTCTATATGCCTAATTCTCAAGATATTCTAACCACATGCTTCATTCTTTAGTAATTCTAATCATATATCTTCATATAAGCATAAACTTAAGCATTACTAATCATGATTCATCATATAAGCCTTAATCTAATCAATTCATGTCTATAAGTTTTACTCTTAAGAAATTCATGTCTAGGTGTTCTAATATCAAGCAATCTATAATGTAATTCATCAATCTTAGAATATCACATCTAAGCCCTCAATTTCCCCTTTGATGGCATAAAACTCAACTATATCAAATTCACCTTGGAATCTTAGGTTAATCAAGAATACATGTATAATCATACTAAAAACATGCATTTCCATCATAAACAATCATAAACCACTCTATTGGATCATAATCAACATAACCCACAATATTGGAAGGAACCCTAACTTGAATTGGGTATTTCATCTTCACAATTGGGGGAATTCTAGGGGACTCCATGGATGGAAGAATCCATGGATGAATAAGCTACCATACCTTGATTACAAAGCCCTCAAATCTTGGAACAATGGAGACTTGCCTTGACCTAGCTTGATCATCATCTTCTTCTTCTTCACTTTCTAGAGAGAGAATATTTGAGACGGAATTGGGTTCTTTTTTATGAGTTGAAATAATGATTAGGATCAATGAATTTATGGGTTTATAGTCTTTATATAGGTGGTCTAAACTAGGGTAAAATGACACCACTTCATCCCTAATTAATTCCCAAAAGTTCCATTAAGTCCTCACTTAACCGTTTAAAACAAGTCACTGCTTCACCCACGAGACCCCGACCGCGGGGTGTGGGTCTAACCATGGCCCGCCCTGGTTGGGCGTGGTTTGGGATCTGTGGCACTATCTTGGGGGCTCTTGACCTACGGAGCCAACCATGTGGCGTGGACCTATCCACAAGGTGTGGGTCCTGCCCGTGGTTACTGCCTTAGGCAGATTTCATGGAGGGCTCACGCACACTACCCACCTAAGGGGCATGGGTGGCCTCATGGGTGGCACCTAAACTCCCAAATAATGTTAACTTCCCACTCAAGGCTACGGGGTGTTACATATTTGGCTGAAGTGATATGTTCCTTTGTACTACCCTTAGACACATTTCTCTTTCTTTTTCTATCCTTTTTAGGTTCAATAGTATCATCAATAATATCTATAGGTTTGAAGGAGGAACAAACTTACTTTTCACTACACGTGATTTCTTGGTGGACTTAGTAAGAAGTACTTCATCCAGAGTATGTTGCACCGACCGAGTAACTCTAACCAGAATCACCACTGATGGTTCAGAAGTGAGATCTTCTTGAGGCTTATCAACAGAAGTAGCGATGGGTTTACTGGAGGCTAGACGAAGTCGTTTAGGAATCAATTTTACCAACGGAGTATCATCTTCATCAATATATGAGGTATAAGTTTATTTCTTTGATGATTTTTGTTCCCCCTGATAATAAGCAGTCGTATTATCACTGAAATCAGACCCCAATCTATGGTTTCGTACTTCTCCCTGAATTGCTTGCTCTATGAGATGACATGCAAAATGTGATCTTCCGAAAGGGTCAATGAACATTACATCGGGTGAGAAAAATGGGCTTTCTTAATTCTCGAAGGGTATGAGGGCAAGGTTGAGGTTTTTGGACGGTGAGGACATGATTTGGGAATGGATTGTAGAAATTAGGAAGGGAGAGTGAGAATGGAGAATGGAGGTTTTGTGAAGGATGAACAAAAGTGAGATGTAACTGATAATGGGAAGTGGAAAGGTTTTTAGAGAAGAGAGAGAGAGAGAGAGAGAGATTGATTTGATGGATTTGATGGATTTGATGAGTTTTTGATTGAATTTTTAGCGGTTTAAATCATATTTTCTGACAGAGTAATTTAATGAGGGAACGGGTAGAGTGCATAAGTCACATTATTTTGTTCATCTTTAGTACGTATTGTGTACATACCTTTATTTGTAGAGATGATGGCCTTCGAAGTCCTAATCCCTTGATTTTCTAATTACCTGAGAATAGTAGTTCCTTTAGTTACAGTTCATTATGAATTATTAAGACTTAAAATAGCATGTAATCGAGGACCATAGTTTACTGAGTAAACAGAGATACTTAGGCAATTTTTATCATCCCTAATTCCAACTTGTTCCTTTCAAAGTGTTCCCTTGCTAATGCCTTAGTGAACATATTGGCAATTTGTTCTTCTATGGTACAAAAATTCATAGATATCAATCCTTTGTCAACATTATTCCTTAGAAAGTGATGTCTTATATCGATGTGTTTGGTTCTTTTGTGCTGAACTGGATTTTTTGAGATGTTGATGGCACTTGTGTTGTCACAAAAAATTGGAACACAGTTTGTAGACCAAAGTCTTGTAACAATTGTTTGATCCATAGTAGTTGTTCACAACATGAAGCAGCGGCTACATATTCAGCTTCGGCAGTAGACGGTGCAACCGAATTTGTTTCTTTGAACCCCAAGAGATTAAACAGGATCCCAAAAAGTGAGCCATACCTGTAGTGCTTTTTCTATCTGCTAGATAACCAGCGTAGTCCACATCAGCATACCGTACCCTACAAGTTTGAAATTACTTTCCCTTAAATACCAAAGTCCTAAGTCTGTGGTACCTTTTAGATATCGTAGAATTCTTTTGAAAACTTGTAGATGTGATTCCTTTGGATTGGCTTGAAATCGAGCGCATACCCCTACGCTAAACACAATATCGAGCCTTCTGGCTATAAGGCACATAAGTGAACCTATCATTCCTCTATACAGTTTTTGTTCTACAGCTGGACCTGTTCCTTCTAGGTCTAACTTAGTGGCAGTGGCTATTGGGGTAGTGATCTGTTTAGCATCTTCTATTTTAAATCTTTTGAGTAGTTCTTTAACGTACTTCTGATGATGGATCATTGTTCCCGCAGGTGTTTTGTTGATCTGCAGTCCCAAGAAATAGTTCAGTTCTCCGATCATGCTCATTTTAAATTCATTGCTCATGAGAGTTGAGAATTCATCAGTGAGTGTTTTCGTTGTGGCTCCAAAAATAATGTTATCAACATATACTTTTACAATAAGCAAGTCTTTTCCTTTATTTTTAATGAAGAGTGTATTGTCGATTTTTCCTCTTGTGTATCCATGTTTTAAGAGAAACTTTGACAATCTATCATATCATGCCCTTGGAGCTTGTTTCAACCCATAAAGAGCTTTGTCAAGCTTATAGACATAGTCAGGATGATCATTGTTCTCAAATCCATGGGGTTGTTTTACAAATACTTCTTCTTTTAGTAGCCCATTGAGAAAAGCACTATTTACATCCATTTGGTATAATGTAAATTCCATGTAGGCAACAAAGTCTATGAGTAATCTGATTGCTTCAAGCCTAGCTACTGGAGCAAAGGTTTCATCATAATCTATGCCTTCTTCTTGATTGTACCCTTGAGAAACTAACCTTACTTTATTTCTTGTTATGGTTCCATGTTCATCTAATTTGTTCCTAAACACCCATTTAGTTCCAATGATAGTTCTGTTCTCAGGCTTTGGCACAAGATGTCAGACTCTACTTCTTTTGAATTGGTTCAGTTCTTCCTCCATCGCTATGATCCAGTCTGCATCTTGGAGGGCCTCGCTGATTCTTTTAGGTTCGACCATAGAGAAGAATGCACTGAAGGCACAATGATTTTTTAGTCCTGATCTAGTGGTTATTCCAGAAGAGAGGTCAGTGAGTATGTTGTCCACGGGATGTGATCCTTGGTATTTGTAGTCTTTTAGTACCAGATCATGTTGTTCTGCATTTGGACTATTATTTAGTTTCCTTTGGTCATCTTCTAGTGTTTCTTCTGTGTTTCCATTATGATTATCATGTGAGTCTGCACTGTCTTCATTAATTGTATCCAAAGGACCTGTTTCTTGTACCTGTTCCTGTACAACTTCGCTGTATACCTTTGATGGTACTTTATTTTCCTGCAAGTTTTGGTTAGACATAGTATTGCTTTCATCAAATACAATGTGCACACTCTCTTCCACACACATTGTTCGTATGTTGAGTACCCTATAGATTTTACTATCTGTGGAGTACCTTAGAACGATTCCTTCATCACTTCTCGCATCAAATTTACCCAACAAATTTTTTCCATTGTTGTGGATGAAACACTTAACCCAAATACTCTTAGATGAGAGATATTGGGTTTTCTTCCTTTTAGTAATTCATAGGGAGTTTTATCTAACATTGGTCTGGACATACATCTATTGATGGTATAGCAGGCAGTATTTATAGCTTCAGCCCAGAATTGATTGGTGATTTTATTTGTAATCATCATAGTTCTAGCCATTTCTTGTAAGGTTCTATTTTTTCTTTCAACAACACCATTTTGTTGAGGGGTTCTAAGAGTAGAGAAATTATGGTCAACTCTATAGAGATCACAATATTGAGCAAATTTTGAGTTTCCAAATTCGGTTCCATGATCAGATCTGATTTACATTAATTGTTTGTCAAATTTCTTTTGAAGTTTTCTTATTAGTGAGTAGAATGCTTCAAATGCATCATCTTTCGATGTCAGGAAGAGTGTCCAGGTTAACCTAGTATAGTCATCAACTAATACAAACATATACCTTTTCCCTCCCCTGCTTTTGACTCTCATGGGTCCACATAGATCCATGTGTATTAGTTCCAAGGACCTGGTTGAGCTTATCACCTGCTTTGAGTTAAAGGATGATTTTATTTGTTTCCGTAGAGTGCAGGCCTCACACATCTTTTCTTCTTTGAACTTAGTTTTAGGAAGACCTATTACTAAGTCCTTAGAGATGAGTTTATTGAGTTGTACCTGGCTTGCATGACCTAGTCGTTTATGCCAAAGTAGAGGACCTTTATCCAACACACTTAGACATACTATATTCTCATCAGATATTTTTAGAAGTTGTCTACAGTGTAAACATGTTTGTACTTTTTTCCCGTTAGGACAACTTTCTTGTTTTTAGATTGATTACTTCAACACCAGTAGATAGAAAAATTACCTTGTTTCCTTTGTCACACAGTTGGGATATACTTAACATAATGTGTTTCAATCCTTCCACATGGTACACCTTGTCAATTGATAGTTCATCAGATCTTCCTATCTTGCCAACGCCTTTGATTTGCCCTTTTTTTCCGCCACCAAAAGCTACCATTCCACCTTTTCCTTCTTCGAGTGAGAGAAACTTTGTTTTATCTCTAGTCATGTGTCTTGAGCAAGCGCTATCCATATACCAGTGTTGCTTCCTTTCTCTCACTTCTACCTGAAAAATATTAAAGGTTAGTTTTAGGAACCCATATCAACTTGGGTCCTTTATTTTTATCAAAAGGGTGAATAAGATCTCTGTTTATTCAGTTGGGAAGACCTGTTTTGTTTAGAAGGTGCCTATTTCTTAGGTGTGTATAAATTCTAGTTCTTTGGCAATTAAATTTGGAATGACCAATCTTACCACAGAGACTACAAAATTAAGTAATGTCACTTTTGGTTTGTTCAAAACTTATTTCAGCTATTATATTTCGGGTGTTGTTTCCAAGATGTGTGACTATCATGGATGACCTTGTCCATGCAATCTTTCAAGATCATATTTAGTCCTGGATAATTCAAGATTCATCCTCCTAGAGTTTTCTCTTTCTAAGCTTAAGTCGTTTTTGAGTTTATTCACCTCATGTTCATACTTGGGTTGATCACATGCTTTTTCTTTACCAATAACCTTTAATTTTATATTTTCAGTTTTTAATGCAAGATCGAAGGATTCAAGTTTCTGATTTTTCATTAACCACAACTTGGTTTTCTCTTGTAGTTCAGTGTTGAGTTTTTCGAGATCGATATACTCAAACTTTAAACTAGTCATGGAGGCAAGCAACTGATTCTTGTTTCTAATTTGTTCTTGAATTGTGTCCATAAGTGTTCGCATTAACAATGATAATTTTTTCTTAGAGAAGGATTCTAATTTGTCTTTGAGATCAGATATGTTTACCTTTTTTTCTTCAGAGTCTGAATCAGGTTCACAATCTGACTCTTCCATGGCCGTTAAGGCAATGTCATCATCATCTTCTTCATAGTTGTTTGAACTTGTTCCCCAGGAAGCGTACATAGCTTGTTCCTTTTCTTTGGTCTTTCTCTTGTTTGCAAGTTCCCTTTTTTCCTTTTCATCTCTTTCTTTTCTCCATTCTACTTCCCACATAGGACAATCCTTGATTTGATGATTAGTTTTACCACACTTGTAACATCCACCAGTTTGAACTTTTTCCGTGTTTTTCTCCTTGTTTGGTGGTATACGCCTTTTTTCCAGAATTCATTCCCCTTTCGAAAAATCTCTTAAAGTTTCTGGTGATTAGTGCTAGCTCATCATCATCTAAATCTAATTCATCACTTTCAGTTGCTTTGAGACCGAGATTCTTCTCCTTGTTTCCTTCACTTCCTTTACAACGTGCATCTCATAAGTTTTGAGATTTCCTACCAGTTCATCTAGAGTCATGTTTGTTAGATCCTTGACTTCTCTAATAGCAGTGACTTTGATTTCCCATGATCTAGGTAGAGTTCTTAGTACTTTATCTACCTGTTCCTCAGTAGTGTATATCTTTCCTAAGGAAATTAACTCATTCACTACTGTGGTGAATCTGGTGATTATATCTTGAAGTGATTCTCCATTCTTCATCTTAAATGCTTCATATTCAGAGCAAAGTCGGGCAATTCTGAATTTTCTGACTTGAGTTGTACCTTCATGAGCATTTAAGAGAGTGTCCCAAATTTGTTTTGCAAAAGTATAACTTGAGATGCGATTAAATTCATAAAGACCAAGTCCACATACAAGAATGCGCTTAGCTTTTGCATTTTTTCCTAACATCTTGTAGTCAGCGTCTCCGTATTGTTCCTTAGGTTTTGGAACATTGTTTCCTTCACTGTCTTTGATGGTTGGAGTTAGAGGTCCATCAGTAATTCTTACCCATAGTTCATAATCCTCAGCTTGAATGAAGTCCTCCATTCTATCTTTCCACCATGAGTAGTATTGATTATTGAAGAGTGGTGGTATGTTGATGTTTTGACCTTGACCATGCCCAATAGGAGGTGCAGAATTCATTGTGATCTTATCTTGAGTGATTAGACTCTTGTTAAGATACCCTCATTCTGATACCAATTGTTGGAATTATGGCCTCCTTAATTCAGTAAAGGAACACGTACTAACGTTTGATAATTGCGGTAAATAATAATCAGTTCACAACTTCGTATTATTTATCACAACTTCAAACTACACAACGATTACACACCTATGTAATCTAAGGAATTATAAACTCTAATCCCTTTTTACCCAAGACAAAACCCCCAAGTTTAAGCCTTCTAAAAGTCTTCCAAGATTCTCCAACTTGGTAGACTCGTCCTACACTCAACACTCAATTGCAGTCAATTACTATTAACTACAATCTTACAATTTTTCTCACAAACTCGCAGCACTCCCAAGTAAAATACAAAACTCTCTCAAAAACTCTTTGATAGTGTTTTGATTATCTCTCTATGTAAGTGCGTAAATTTCTTAGAAGAAAATCACGCCCTATTTATAGACTTGAATTTCTCAAAACCTTCTTCAACTCAACTTTATTTACACGGTTAAACTATGCTTCCTACTACGTTTTGGAATCCTTCTTCAATTTGACTTCGTATGGACTCCTACTTTATTGCGACTTTGTACTCTTTAATATTTTCCTCATTCCAGTCATATTAGGTGAAGTTGAATCACGTTGACACAACATGTTCTATGCAACTTTGTCAGTCTTCAAAACACTAAATTATTTGCAACTAACAATTGTCAAATTAATTGTAGATCCATACAAAATAAAGATGAAATGAGAGTCCATGAACAGAAGATAAACATGATCAAAATGATGAGATGTAACTCGTAAGGCTCCTCAGAGACTCATAAGAAGAGCCTCCTGGCTTTAAACATGAATTTGCCTTCTCCTTTAGCTCTAACATTCTTTCTTTAATTTGTTTCCCTTCTTCCTCCTCCATCAACCTTCTAATTGCATTTTCAATGTTCATCCTCTTCAAGCCATTCTCTAATTGCACCCCTACTTTCCAAACATGGCTAACGTACCTTGCGTTCACCATTTGATCACCGAAACATGGCATACAAATCATTGGTACCCCTTCACATATACTCTCCAATGTTGAATTCCATCTGTTATGCGTCCAAAATGCCCCAACAGCAGGATGTTTCAATACTTGTTGCTGAGGAGCCCATTTGACAATGTGTCCTCTTCCATTCACTGTCTCGAAGAACTCACTAGGTAACCATTCGATCCATTCAGAGCCATGAATCAATGCGGGCCTAACGACCCACAAGAATGGGTAATTGTTGTTTGCTAAGCACCAAGCAATCTCAAGAAAGTCATTAATTTCTATTGCTGCAACACTTTCAAAGCTAACGTAAATTACAGATTTAGGTGGTTTAGTGTCTAGCCAAGAGATTGAAGTTTGGTCTTATGACATCAAGCTGCTGGAAGAAGCCGGAAAATGAGAGTGAAAGGGGCCTATTGGGAAAATTGGGATAGGAAAATCTTCGCGGAGTTTAGACATGGAGAGTTGTTCTTGTTGTTCAAATGAATTGAGAACGAGGCCTGATGAAGCTTTAGTTTCTCGTATCATTCCTTGAATAACTTGATAAAGTGCATCCACATTACATGTCTTGAATAAAGGAAGGTCTTTAATTCTGAGAGGTGGAAGTTCCTCGACTGCTTCCTCTAGTCGAGATTCTATACATGTAACAAATTCATGACTCATGAGTAACAGATTCAATGCAACATTTAAACTTTGAGTACGCACATTTAGACACCTTAGCTTGTTTCTCTTGTGTTAGTTGAACACTTAAACATACCTATGTTTGTGTATTTAGTTGCTAGTTGAGATCAAGTTAAGATGTTTAGATATGCACTCTCAAAGTTGAAGTAATTAATTATTTACCTGGATTGTTGCCATAAAAAAAGAAGAAAGAAACTCTCTACCAATATGTGACAAATTTTGAACTTCGTGAATCAAACAATTTAACTGTATGCGGACATGAAATCCTTGATTTTGTAAAAATTTAATATAAATCACAATAATTAATAATTAAAAATATTATAAAGACATAAAAAATTCACAATCTAAGAACTAGTACTTAATTTTGAATCTCAAAACTCGGAAAATATATGGATGAGAGGGAGTATTATTTGAAGTGCCATATTGAATTCATGTTATTTTTTCTTGATCGTACTAAAACAGATCAATAGAAAAGGTAAGTGAGAGAGAGAGTCAATAGATGAGTTGTTTTTCAGGCACCTTTTAGTGCATGTGGATGAGGTTCACGAGTCATCAAAAAACAAAAAAAAAATGTGTAGGCGCCGATATTATCATTGCAAAATGGAAGATGTGAAACAAGAACGAACTGTTTCAGGCAACACTTGTTGGACATACAGGTACTAAAAAGATATGATTTATCTAAGAAATTGGTTATCAACTTGACATAATATTCATGAAAAATAACTATGGACATACTCTGTTATCCATCGATATTTTACTTGACATAGTATTCATGAATATTAATCAAATATACAGATGCTTATTATATTGGCTTGTGTCTGATCGATGAAAAGTTAGGAGAATAAATAATAGGCAAAGCTAACCTCATCATAGTGCAATAATTTGGTTGGTCCCGGCAAGTGTGGAAAAATAAAACACAAGTTGGCCCGCCTATTAAGGGGTAGTACTACACACCATTATTAGTACTGCTATCGAAATATCAATTCTTTCATTAGGTGTTCAGTTTACATTTTTTCTTTGGACCAAAAAATTGTACTTGTATTACACGTGTTAAGAAAATATACTACTCAAAATGATTAGTTTTGCACCCATTCAGTCATGAATTAGATTTTTCTTTTTAGCAATTGAAATAAGAAATTGTCTTCTAATTAAATTTGTAAATATGCAGTGCTAGTAGCTAGACAGAAGCTCAGAACGACAATTTAAAAATACCCACACAAGCTCAGTGTGATAATAAAAAATGTCCAAGAATCAAACCCAACGGAACTGAATTAGAAAAATAAAAAAATCCAATAATCGAATACCTAATGTAGCAGTAGCACGTTTTTTGTTGCTTGCTGGTATTATAAGATGCAGAAGCAAACACACCACTACTCCACCAACTAAGATGGATCCATTACCTCATGTTATCATTAAGATGTATTTAGTTGCTAGTTGAGACCAAGTTAACATGTTTAGATATGCACTCTCAAAGTTAAAGTAATTACTTGTTTACCTGGATTGTTTCCATAAAAAAAGAAGAAACAGACTCTCTGTCTATGTGATAAATTTTGAATTTCGAGAATCAAACAGTTTAATTTTATGCAAGCATGAAATCCTTGATTTATTTTAAAATAAAATTTACATTTTTAAAAATTTGTTATAAATCACAATAATTAATATATCAAATTACTATAAAGACATATAAAAATTCACAATCTAAGACCATCTCCAACCCTACTCTATTTTACTCTCCATTCTCTATATTTGGAGAGTAAAATAGAGAATATCCTCTCCAACCACTCTCTATTTTACCCTCTACTCTCCAATTATAGAGAGTTGAATAGTAGTTCTCCAAATTTGGAGAACTACTATTCATACTCTCTATTTCACTTTTTGAATATTATATTATTATTTGTACTATTTTGTAATTAACATATTATTTTTCATATAAGGCTATTAATTAAATCTCTAATATTTACAATTCTTTTTAAATGTA